AAAGTATACATAAGCCTCATAATTTTATGAAATTTAATTTTGTAAACAAAGTTTTTTGACAACAATTTTTATCAAAAAATTTCAAGTTTCAATAAAAATCATTATTTAGAAACTAAGAAACGTAAAATAAAGAATGCTGACGAAACAAAAAAAAAAAAAAAAAAAAACAATTCTTTTTTGTCGCCATTTTTAGTGCTACGAAAATTCGTCTTTGGGATTTGCCAAAAACAAAACAAGATGCAATTTTATTTTTTCAGGAGGGAAATATTTTACCGAAAAAACGAAAATGTACCAATTCCCACAACATAAAACTTTATCTTGGTAAACGTACGTTTTGGAAATGTTATTTCATTTGGAATCTTATTTATCAGAGTTCATATGGCGATATGATTGTTTTGAATCTATGCTAAACTCTATATCGGCTCATTTTCCACCGAAATCCGATTGACTATTTTGATTTTAAATAAAGTGTTTTATTTTATGAATTGTCGCAAAAATTTTAAGTGTAGATTGGCGGCACTTAAAAACCGCCAAATCTGTAGCTGCTGTGGCGTTAATACATAAGTACCGAATTTTTATTCATACTTTTCTGAATCATATTACTTGAAACATTAGAATATGCAAGAAGTATACATAAACACATAATGTTATACCATTTATGTTTTCAAAAAAAGTATTTTGACAACAATTTTTATCAAAAAATTATAAACTATAAAACGGAAAATAAAGAATTCTTAGGATAAAAAACGATTTTAAGAATTCTTTACATTGAAATAAAAACTTTCATATAGTTTCTTTTCTTATTATTCTTATAGTTCTTAATCAGACGTAAGAAACCATTCTGTAGAGAACTATCATCAAATAAGAAAAAAAAGTTTTACAAGCTAATTTTTTATTATAAAAATCATAACACTTACCTTCTTTATAAATCCGTAGAGTTCCAAATGAAATGTTCTTCGTTTGAAAGTTTTATTTTCAAATAATATGTGCATAGATTATCCCTTTATTACTTTTAGATAACATACCACACATCAAAATTTTATAATTGTAAGATCTCGATATGAATTTGAATATGTAGCTTAAAAACAGAACAGCTGAATTCTAGTTGAAATTATCTATTCTTTCAAAACTAAGAAATACTTACCAAGAAAACGATAAAAAATTTATTAATCATCAGCACAAATGACACTATTTCAAGTAATTTGGTTGATTCTTTATTGTTGTTTTCCGAATTATATAGATACAGAAATATATACTGTTCTATAACAAAGAAGAATTCTATAACTATTGCAGTTCTTGACGTTCTGAATTCACATTTCTTTATTGGAATGACGAAAGCAATGTTGACTTCATTTTAATTTGTAATGAATTGAAGACAGAAAAAATTATTTTACCGTAATGCACACAATCTGTAACAGCAAGTTATCATGAAATTGGAAGTTATGTTGTTGGTAATAGAAAGGTAAAAATTATTGAGAAATTGTTCTTCAAATGCTTGGCGTGTTCTGCTTCAATGTTTGGCATGTTCTGGTTAGTTTTTTCAAGTTCTTCAGCTTTTCCTTAGGGAAATTTTTATTTTTATTTGCTGCTAAGAAAATGGCGTCCGTCATGGCCAATGATTTTTATGGAACTAAATAAAAACGTGACAAATTAATGTCTGATATTTACAGGCTCCCGCTAGAGGGCGTACTCGAGCGTTGCGATCGCGAATAAAGGAAAATGAAACGAACGATGCATTGCATTTTAGATCATTCGTTAATTTTAGATTTTGAGATATGGAGTTTTAAGGATGACAAAATAGCTCAAAATAGGTTAAAAAGTGAAATTGCGATGGAATATCGAAATCGCATTTTACTTAGTTGGTTAATTTTTTACATTGATTTTGATTCTTAAACTTTTTTATTTGCCGAATGAACACTTATTTAAAATCATCAAGAAAATTGGGACAAATTCATCATGACATTTGCTTTAAAAATACTCGTCTGCTTGTCATAATATTAATAAATGACTTTTCTTCTGATTTTATTCATAATTTTATAATATTCATACTTATTCTTTTGAAATACATAAAATTTCTTAACAAATAAGCAATAACAGTAAGAAATTTGTTTCGCTTAATTACAATCTATGCAGGTTGTTTAGTTGGGTATTGCTTACGTAGCCTTTATAATTAAAATATGGCGTAGCGATTTTTAATTTCTGTAAGCTCTCAAGATGTTTGGTAAATCAAGATACTATATAAAGATGCACAACTTCTGAATAGAAATCTAAGAGTTTCCAATTCAATGCCGGAGCCCTAACTAATCTTTTACGAAAAAGCAGCAAATTTGTTTCAGTGCTTGAAGTAATTGCTACGCTTTTTGCCCAACTAGTGAAACGACGATTTTATCGTTCTCTTTTATTATTTTAAATTGAATTTATGAAATTCTTTTAAATCGTTTGATTATTTATGTTATTTTAATTCTAGGAAATGTTTGGATACGTTTTCTTTAAGGACGTCGAATGTTAATAAAGGCAAAGTAAAACACATTTTCTTATAACTTAAAGTAATGGTTACGATTTGATTTAAATGTTTAAACTATTTTTCCTGTTCTTAAATTAATATCCTGTTCTTAATGATAATCCTATTATTAATTCTTGCTAATCTTCTAAATTTCAATGCATTTATTAAATGCGTCTAGATTGTCTCTTTGTTTCTTGTTATTACTGTTTGCAGTTATGTATTGTTTTTTTTTTCCTTTAAGAGTTCTTCGAACTTGAACTTTGTTCCTTAGGTTACAATTGGTAAGTCCTGAACACATTTTAACGTTATATATTTGCGTGTATTATGTAATAAAGGTTTTTCCTTTTATTTCGAAAACCGAAAACTTTCTTTTGTGGGAACGATGTATGGGAAATTTTACCTTTCGTGAAAGCTAAGAACATGTGATACGCAAATAATTTTTCCGATAATATTACTGACAAAATGGCACACTTGGAATAAAAAATCTTCTTTGCTTAGGAGTGATCTTCGTATCCTTGGTGACCTTGGTATCCTATATATTACTTACTTATTAACGCCACCGCCGCTACAGATTTGGCGGTTTTTAAGTGCCGCCAATCTACACTTAAAATTTTTGCGATAATTCATAAAATAAAACACTTTATTTAAAATCAAAATAGTCAATCGGATTTCGGTGGAAAATGAGCCGATATAGAGTTTANAGAGGTTCTCGTTGGTTTATATATATATAAATCTCACTTATTTATCATTTTCAAAAATATAATAAGTAAATGCTAATAATGCAATAATTTTCCAACCTAATATTCGGGAATAATAAAGTAATTACTCTAAATAAACTAACTTTTTAATTATTTTTCTCTTAGGTATAAATGAATCGTGTTACAATCAGCTGATAGAAAGATTTAAGTTAATCTGTTGTTCTGAAAAGCTCTATATTTTATTTATTATTTTTTTTATAAGCAATAGATTATAGTTAGGTTTTAAATTTGGCGTAACTAGCAATTCTAGTGTTAAAATTATTAGTAATTCTAGCTTTAAAATTATAAGTAATTCTAGCTTTAAAATTATAAGTAATTCTAACTTTAAAATTATAAATAATTCTAGCTTTAAAATTATTTGTAGGTCGAAAATATCACATTAGGAAAAATTCTTTTAAATCAGAATCCTTTTCAATTTTTTTAACACGAGGAAACTTTTATAAATGGCGGGTTATAGACATCGTTTCTCTTTTTTTCTTTTTTCTGCTTCTTTTTTTAAAAAATTTTTTTATGTACAAAATATTTTTATAAAAGATGTTTTTTAAATTTTTTTTTTTTAAAAAAATGCCTCTGACCAGCTTGTGTAGGGGTTAGGGAACTGCCCTTGCATCAGAAAGGTTCTAGGTTCGAATCCCGGGCAAGGCATGGATGTTATTTCCTTCTCTGTATCTACTATCTGTCCTTACTGTGGGAGCAACGTTGGCCCACCTAATATGGTGCCCCTGAAAGAGTGGCTAACAAATCTGCCCATCATGTGTCTGTATGACCCAGGTCATTATCCAGGTGGGGCATTGGAAAAAAAAATTAAAATCGTTTTCGTTCTTTTTCACTGTTAAATTTTTATTTTGGAAAAAAATGAAATAGATCGAGACTTAACAAGCAACAATTTTGTATACGTATGTATCAATTTGCAAGTTGCGCAAAATTAAAATGAATTTTTACGATTAAAGAAATGCAGACGTTTAGTAAGAATAAGGAAATAGGCTTAATGGAACATTGAAATTGTTAATCACTCTTTGCTCTCAACCTTTTAAAATTAAAACACATTAATTTAGTTTTTTTTCGCAAAATATTTACCGATTTTAAAATGTTGCTTAAAAATTGAGAAATATAAAATATGAAATGGTGATATTATTTAAGGGGGACATATTTATTAAAAACAATAATATAAAATCACATAGCGTTTGCATCAGACGTGAGAGACAGGTGACCGAATTCCGGCAATATTGCATATGTAATCCTACGTTGTTTGGTGAAAAATGTATAAAATGATATTTGCCATATATCCTTGATTTATAAAGCATTAGTTTTCAATGTTAATGCACTTCCATTTGGAATGCTTTTTTTTAAAAATTTGGTTTCATTATGATATATTAATTTATCCTTGGTCAATGTTTACTACGATTTCACTTTTTAAACATTGGTTTATCTTGAATTAGCAGAAAAAACTGTTTTAGACTAATAACATTGAACATGCATTATTTTATTTTTTAAATACATCATGTTTAGCGCACTTCTGCAGTACGTATTCATTATTGCTAGAAAATTTGATGTTTGAACAAAAACAAGGTTATAAAAACGGACTTATTCACCACTAACATATAGACATTTTCTCTTTGCAATTTCAAGGTTACACTCATTAAAAATAAGAAACAAAAGGTTTTTACGCGACTTGATGGTTCAAAAGGAAGAAAACAAAGATTAAAAAATACGCCTTGCTCCTTCAAATGCCGTTTAACCCGTAAAGAAACACTATTTACATTTTGAGTAAACATAAGTGTTTACCTAAGCTTTTAGAACTTTCGCAATAGGCTGTTCCGTTGTGAAAATGGAATTATGGGTTATTATGGTTGGCAATAAGACGGACTTGGCGATGTAAAATATTTGAAAATAAAAAGTCTTCACTTTCCCCGTTAGTTGTTTTATCAGTTAAATTTTACTTTGGGCTTAGCACAAGTAAATCGCTTTTGATATGGATATTTTGGGAGATTTGGCTAAGAAAATAGGTCTGATGTTGTATGTCGTTGATTCCAAAGAAATTTTGTCTGAAGCATCGAATTTTGTGAGAGATTTCATCAAGAAATTGGGCTATTTATGGTATTTTATGAATCCGAATGATCACGCCTTTGAAACTGTTGACAAAGTACCCGATTACTATAAAGAGGTAAAAGTTTCATAGTTTCTCAAATTTTATTTTATGATTGTAGTTATAAAGAATGGAGCTTTAGAATAATTTTTATTCTAATTACCCAATTTGTTAAAAATATATTTGCTTTTAAGATCTTAAGAAATTGAGAATATATATGACTTTGTTTAGGGCTATAATAGGCTAAGACTCGCATTAAAAGTTACTTTTTGGGTTCAAACTTTACAGTGTATGAATAGATTATTTGGAGTTTTCATATATTCTTGTAATGTAAAAAATTCTGGAACGTTAAAAAACAATTTGAAGTAAATTAAAAAAAGAGTTAAAAATTCAGTACTCAGCTTTCATCAATACAGTGGGATAATATTTTTGTAACATAATGGAGTATTGTTTTCACATTAAATGATAATTGATTATAAAAGGTTTGGAAGGAAACAAAATACAAATTCCACTGAGCAAAGTTATCATTGATTTTTGAGAAAACGATGATGAACTTCCTTTCTCAACCTTCTTGCTTTCAAAGCAACTTTTCAGTGATCATTGTGTTTGGGAAGAAAAAATTTAGATACATTTTATTTGATCTATATAGATGAGCTGCCTAAGCAATATTTTTATGCGTGTTAAGTTACAAATTTTATATTATAATTTTATATGCTTGACAGTTAAATGTTAGTGAAACTGAAACATGAGATAAGGTTCCAATCACGTATTGTGGCGTTTCTGTACGTAAACGTTAACGTCAATTTATTATCAATAATGAAACATGTGAATACAATGGCTTTATCCCTTATTTTTAAAATTATCATATAAACCTCCTTTTTTGTTGCTTTCAACCACAGATTTTAGAGGTTCGCGTTGGTTTTTAGCGATGGTTTAATTCTGAGACTACGTTATAGATGTTGAATTTACATGAAAATGACAAATGCCACTCAATATCGACAATTTTTTTAACGTTTTCAATCCTTTTTAAACGATTTTTGGTTATTGGTTTTATACTTACTATTGTACATATATACAGTAAGAGTTTTTCGCAATTATGTTTTAGGGATGGTTCGAAAAGAGCAACATACTCTAACAAGAATTTTTTTTCTTGTCATATTGCTTGAAAACGGTGAATTTGAAAATCTAGTCTTCTTAATTTTTGATATATTGTAATTTTTGATCTATTTCAATGATATTTTTGCATGCAGACAAAATGAAAATATGGAAAAGCACACTTCTCTTTAAAAAATTCATAATTTTAGATTTCAAAATCTCACGAATTTCGAATATTGCGTTCACATGAAAAAGATTATTTTTAGAAATATTTCTTTTATACATTAATCGAGTATTTATAAATAAATAAGTGAATTAATTCCATTAACTGTAAAACAAACTCAATTATCTTATAAATTCTGTGTAACAGTACTAATTATGTGTAACAGTTTATTTTTTCGCTAAAAAATAGAGATAGACACAAATATTTATACATATATTTTCAATTTAAAATGATCTTACACCAAAACTCAGGTACACACATTAATATATCAAGGAATAAAAATAACGAAAGTTTGTAAAAATTATAAGAATTAGAAAATATTGGATTAGACAGCATTTTATTCTTCTAAAAAAACGGAAAACATGATTTTTAAAATAAACTAATTCAAAAATTAAAAAAAAATGGTTCAACACAAAAAAGGTGAGAAATAAAATATTGGGTACACTTATAAGAATCGAGTTGACATAGTGTCAGTTAATTTTACTGATATTATGTTAATTTTAAACTAAATTTATCTTTAAATGTGTTGCAAGAATTTATTATGCAAATTTTAAAAAAAATCGGATGAAAAGTTGAGGATTTGCTTAAAGTTATTGTTGTCGGAAAAGCGACGACTTTTTATCTGCTTTTTTGTGATTCCTCAACTTATTATTATTTTTTAAATAGATGGTCTGTAATTAGTTCTTGCTCTTAGCCCGTGTATAGGCAGTTAGTGCTTGTATATTTACTTTAATCTTTAGTGAACTTTGAAAGATTAAAATTTGATTAAGAAGTCTTCCTATTAGTACTAAAGGGACAGAATTGTCAGTTAATTTTACTGTATTAGTACTAAAGTACTAAAGGGAAATCCAATTTAATACATGATTCCGTGAATCGTGTGCTGGTTTCAACTAAGTTATTTGCGATTCATGGGAGCAATTATGAGGGCTCTCAAGTTCTCCCAAGTGAGGACAAGACTGTCACATTGTAGATCTTCAAAGTATCTTTATAGCTTTCTTTATTCGGTACATAAGTTAAATTTTTTAGTAAACTATATGAAATAAATACACACAATATCCTTGAAGATGGTACATGATAGTTTTTATTTTTACTATATTGTGAAAAAATTGATAATTATATAATCTTTTCCAGAACCATCCTAGTGCAGTTTAAAGCGTTGCATTATTCTATAAGATAAAAAAAAAGAAAAAAAAATCATTTTTGAAAAAAAAAGAAGAACCCCCACTTTATTAGAGCAATTTTTAGTAACATGCAATATCCCTTATTGACCTAATGTGACATATACATCACGTGAATCACGATAATTCTTATGTGAAACAGAACTGTTTTCATATCAAACAAATGTTTTTTCACTCTTTTAAAAAATTAAGTAGTAGCTGCCGGAAGAAAATGTTCAGTTATTAAAAAATTAACCACTTTTTTAATCGAAGGTTTCTTTGGCATGCAAAAAATTCAAGTGCTAATGGGTAAGTATTTTTAAAGATTGAAAGATAGTTTATTAAAGCCAGTTACCATAAAAATTCACATATGATCAGTCTTGCCCACCATTCATTGCAGGAAAATAGTTCTTGATATAAATTAAATTATTTTAAATCAAAATACTCTACAAAACTCTAATTTAAATACTCTAAACAGATCTGCAATCCTTGCTTTAGAAAAAATCATACATACCGACTTTAAGAAGACTTGCTGAAATTTATAGTAGTTTAAAAAGTAGATTAAAATGATTTAATAAAACAAATTAGATTAATATTCAACGATAAACTTAGTTTGTATTGTCTAAATATTTGAGTTTTTAAGGTAAGCAAAGCTTTCTGTCTATAAAAAACAATTTTAAGTTTAAATTTTCTATCCTCCAATTTTGAATATTAGTAACATTCTGTTTGCTTAACAGTAGAAAATAGCAATTTATTTGATTCCATGCGACTATTAATATATTCTTATAAATTGCAGGTAACGCCAGCCTTTATCTTTGTCATAATTTTAGAACAAGTATTGCATTTTGTACGAGGAAAGAAATTAATGAGGTTGAATGATTCAGTCACAAATATATCTCAAGGAATTCTTATCGAAATTTTCAAGTAAGAATTTCGTTTCTATTTTTTCATTCCCTACACGCGATGTAGAAATAAAGATACTGTTAAAATTTTAATGAAAATAAATATTTAAATAGAATAAATTTAATAAAATATCGCTTGTTTAGGTTTAAGAATGAAGAGTTTGCTCTAATCTTTATCGAAACTGAACATATTATGCTGGAATATATGAATCAGACAATCTTGCTACGCATAGTCGCAAAAAAGCAAGTTAGGTCGAGGTGCACCATGTTGTCATTAAAACTGAGATCACATTTAGCTTCAGAAAAAAATAAATAAAAAATGGCATTTCTTCATCCTTCAATGCAAGAAAGCTAAACAGTTTTTCAAAATGAGATTTGTTTTAACTGATGAAGATTATTTTGAGATAACTTATTTTATATCTTCGATTATTAATAATAACTAAAATAAGCCGTTAAATAAAATATGACTAGTAATGTCACAAATCACAAATGTATTAACTCTCTAATAATGGACCGCTTTCCATTGTCCTGAGCATCGTTGTGAAAGTATTCATGTACGTGGATTTTGAATATTTCATCATTGGACAGAGGGGCTATCTAAAACTACCCAGTCCTAATGTCAACATTAATTATCGAAAAATAATAGTGCGAAATATAAGGCCAACCTCACATTCCTAATATTAAAATTTAAATAATCTGGTTTACAAATTAATCAGCAAAAAGACCGTTAAAACTTTATATGATCCTGGAAGCATTTTTATGGTTAAAAAAATAAAGCAGCTTAAAGTAAGATTAAAAATACAGGGTGGGTACAAAATACTTTTAAAAATACCGAATCACTTTATTGTACAGATATTAAATGAAAAAGATAAATACACATATATGAAGAACGCTATAAATTGAATCGACCACAATATTTATCTTTAATCGATAGTCAATGGCGTAAAGATAATCTCTTACGCCATTGTCGGATGGTGGGACGAATCGTTTTGTCCCATTTACGCTATAAAATAGTTCGGAGAGAGTCCAAACTTCTGTGCTGCTTAGCAGTAACTTTAGACTCTAGAATCTCCAAACACAATAGTCTAAAGGATTTGGATCTGGTGAAGAAGAGAGCCAATCTTCTTGCTTGATAAACTTCGGGCGATTGACATGGAGGCAAGCTTGTGTTGATTTGGCTCGGTGCGATGGTGCAGAATCTTACTGAAATGAGGTACAACCTGCCAACATGTGGCAATAAATATGTAGCCAATACTTCCTTTTTGTAATAATCAGCATTGATTTTTAGCCCTTTATCGATGAATTTCAGAGGAAAGTTTCCTTTATTTGACTTTGCAACCCAATCTATTATAGACTTGTTCTGAAAGCGTTGTACAGTTCGAACACTTTTAGGTACATCATCGGAGGAATATGCAACATTATTTTTAGTATTATGACATCGTTCTCACCAGAAAAGATTATTCTGTGAAAACTTTTACTATCGTGCCGGTTCAGCAATTTCTTATATCTTTGTAACCTTTTTAATTTTTGTTCTGTTGTCAAACTTTGAACTTTTCTTTTGCAATGAGGGTGAAAACCAAAGTCTTCATTTAATATGACTTGTATAGTTTCTCCCACTCGTGTTCTCTTCTGCAGCCACATTTTATGAGCAGAACGGACTGGATTTCTTCGTAACTTTACATGAATTCTTTTGAGGCTCTCTTTTGTACGAACTGAGTGTGGTCTACCAGTCCATCTTTACAGATATTAGAATCCAATAATCGGTTTATAGTTCTATATATAAATGTTCTGATAAACCCAAGAGACTTTAATTGCTTAAAGATTCTACCTGCAGAAAATTCTCAATCGATAAGCTGTTTAACCATCAACCTTATCGATTTTTTCTTTAAACTGATTCTAAATATTTTGCTTTAAACAAAAATCGTTCGCTCTTATATAAAGTGCCACCCACAGGAATAGTGAGAGGGCAACTGTTATATAAAACAATTAAAATTAATTCCTATTTTTTGGAGTATTTCTGTATTTAGAAGTCACCTTGTAGATTTTGATATTTGTTTTGAAGCAACTTTGAATTACAATAAGTTATGCACTCGTATTGAATAAAAAATTTAGACGTTACATTTACTCTTAATAAAAACAAGAATAGAAGTATTTATATTCGCTTTTTACGAAATAGGATTAAAAATAAATTGATTACTTGATTAAATTTGAACGAGTTTAGGAATGATTTAACAAAATAACTATAAATAGAGGAAGTAAAGGAAATGTGTAACAATATGCCTATAATAGGATGCATATAATATCATCCCAAATAGACTGCCCGGGAATTTGTAAAGCCCCTATATGCAAATGATAAGTAACAGTTTAATTTGAAAATTTTATTTTTAGAAAAAAATAAGAATTATCATTATATTGCTTCAAATTTCTCTCTCTCTTTTTTATGTATTAACAGATAACAGTTTATTCCTTAAGCATTTTTAAAAAAATACTTTCTTTTTGGGATGCAATTTATGCGTTGTTATTATCATAGGATACCTGTTCGCGGTGCAGAGCTGTTACTATATACTTGGATCTATAATAACTGGCGACTACATGCTCTTCCTTGGGATTCTCCTTGGACTTGGCTAACTTGCATGATTACGACTGACTTTCTCTTTTACTGGATGCATCGGGCCACTCATCGTAAGTGGCAGTGTTTTTTTTAAAAATTTTCATGCTTTGTTTTATCGAGTGTAGCTTTTTTCTCTTTTTTTTCTGAATGAACTTTAAATGCTTGTTTTATCGAATAAGATTTTTGATTTTTAATTCCTTTTTATAAGTTAATTTTTGTTGATTTAATTTGTAGCCTTTCTTTTTTAACTGGAAGAATCAGACCATTTATAATAAATAATAATTTTTTTTTAATGTCTGTTCTACTACTTGGTGTTATTTTACTATGTAATTTATGTGCTTGTTTTCATGGCAAGTGATAATTCCTTCAGAGCACTTTTTTATTAATAAATTAAAAATATAGAATGTTTTGAAATCAATAGAATATTTGTAACAGTTGGTTGATGAACGTAGGTTTATTAAATAAAGTAAATTCTGGGATATAATGATCAAACTTGAAATAGGGGGGAGTGATGTTGTAATTTGAAGGTTTTTAAACTTTTTATGTGAATGTTCTGAAATTTTTAATGATATGACAATGTTGACTAAATTTTAAAATAGTCCATACAAAAAAATATTTGTTTTTAAAATCATTTCTGATTGTTATTTATTAAAGGGTGTCATGGAGTAAGATTTTACTTTCCCGATTTCATTGCTAACTTATGGAGGATTGTATGAATAAATTAACTAATTATTAAGTAATTAATTAATATTTTGAAATATTTTGTGTTTTATTTCATTCAATATAATGTATTTTGTGCTACTTAGTTATCACATTTTAATGTTTAATGGCTTTAAGCATTTGCTAATTTTTTTAAAAACTATTATGATAGTAAAATTCGACGAAGGTTAAAAAACATTTTAAACATTAATTAAGTTTAAAGAGTACATTTGAGGAAATAAAAACGAACATAAATATTGCAAAATGTTAATTAGTAATTTAATAAAAAAGAAATTTGTGCCCATTAATTTTATATAATTGCATATCGGATCAATTAAAAGTAGCATCTGATATCAGGAGGTTCATCAAAAATGATCCGTTAAAAGTGGCTCATTAAACTTGAGCGTATTTTTTTTCAAAAAAAAAAAAAAAAAAAAAAAAAAAAAAAAGAAAAAAACACATTATTTTTGTTTTGCTTTGTTCTTCTTTTCATAGTGCACACTTTAAAGCGAGTTTTTTTTTCTTTTCTGGAATTGTTAACAATTTATTTATTTTTAAAATTTGATTTTGTAAACATTTGGAGTTCATCTTAAATTTTATTTTGCCAAATTTCTAAAAAAAAAAAAAAAAAAATCCCTAGCTAAAATGTGCTCTAATACAAGAGGAGTAAAATAAAAAAAATATTTTGAAAATTGATTCAGTAATTTCTTAAGAAAAGATGTACCATATTTGGCTTTTTAACATACATTGTAAAATATTCTGAATCGAATTACGATAAAAAATACCGGCATACAAGATGTCGATTCTTTTTACCATCAAATCCATTTTGACCAGAATATTACGGAACAAAAAACATGATATACTGCAATTTTTATAGTAATAACAGCTGTCAAATCACTGTAATTAAATGAATATTACGGTAAATATTATTGTAAATATTACTATATAATATTTTGAAGCGAAAGATTAGATTTTAGATTTAGATTTTACGGTTAAACAAATTTCATGGATGATGCACCCAAAGTGCTGATACTTTATACCGTGTTTTGATTCGGACTTTATTACAGTGTAGGCTGGAATAGAACATGAGCCTAAGGAAATGTTCTATCTCAGCCTATTAAGTCCGTTGAGACAAATGATTATTCATTTAAAATTAACAAAACGAAAGGAATAGTTATTTAACAACTAACAAAACGAACTGAAGATATCAAATAAAGATTTTATCGAAATTTTAGAGCATATACATAAATTTGAGGTTATGTTTAATAAGTGGTATATTTTTTAACACTTTTTTAGAGAATCTTAAATTAGATTTTCTTTCATAGCTACCTTTTTCTTCCCGTAAAGAACATATATGTTTTGAGAGACAGAAACTTGAAAACTATTTTTAGCCTCTTAAATGACTAGCTTTGAAATGTCATTTAATTTATTCTTTTAAAACTTTGAATAAACTCGCCAGAAAGTTACGTTAATTAACATCATCTTTATTATTAAAATTTCATTGTAGCGACAACTTTTTTTTTCAACGCTGTTCTAAGATAAGTAGAATCTTTTAATTATGGCAAGAGATGATTTTGTGTCAAGATAATATCCGTAACTTTATTACTCCGTAGTTTAATCAATATTTTGTCAGAGTTTGGCTTGTAAGTTAATGAGATTTTTATAAAAAAGGATGATTTTAAGTTCTTATTTTTTCAAAAATAATTACATAATAAAAGAACTTTCGCATATTTTTTTTTGAAATATCAAGTTTTTATTCAAATTAAGTTAGAAAGTCTAAGCATTATTTTGTAAATACAAACTGAATGCATTAGCTTAGTTATATCCTGATTATAAATAAAAACATAAGCGTAATGTAAGCGCAAATATAGCTTAAGAAAACATTTAAATTTGTTTACTTAAAACGTTTTAAAATAATGCATGTTAATTGAATATTCCTATGCAATTTTTTGTGAAGTAAATAAGTAAAAAATTTAAAATTTATGTGAAAATTTTTAAAATTTAATTTTATTGTTTTTATTTAGCTTTAGATTTTAATATATTTATTTTCATACCATTTTTCTTCTAATTTTACAATCTCAGCTTGTTTATTTATTTTGTTAAACCGATAAATATTTTAAATGTTATTTCGTTTTTTCTCTTAGAATGCAGTATTTTGTGGCAATTCCATGAGCCACATCATAGCTCGGAAGATTTTAATCTGACAACGCCTCTTCGCCTGAGTATTGTCACAAGCTGTACTATGTGGGTAAGTTCAGTAATTAGGTAGATTATTAAGATATGGTTTTTGGTATAAATTACTGTAGTCCAGAAATAAACCTTTTCCATTAGTTGCTTAAAGTTATACTAATATCAAGTTAATTAATGAGTCGCAAAATTTGCTTCAACTTTAGTGTAATGTCAAATTGAAAAATCTTGTCATGTAAATTGAATCTTTTTAAGATTCATAAATTGAATCTTTTTAACATCCATAGAGGGCCAAGGCCCACTGTGCCCATCTCAGTTTGTTTGACTTTTGGCTCTACAGTGCAGATGTTCCCATTAGGTAGTCAACCAAACACTGATCCCCCAGTGTTCAGTTCCTAAGCATGCTTGGTACCATTTATCAACCCACTGAAGAACCTTGCCCGGACCGAGGATTGAACCCAGGACCTGTGGAACGAGAGCACGAAGCGCTACCACTCAGCCATCGGGCATCGAATCATATTTATATTTAAGATAAATTGCAGCATTGTGTAATCAAATTTAAGAAGCACGGTAATATGGTTTAACTTAGTACCACATTAAATTTGCTGCAAATTTGTGTGATTTTAGTCCAAAAACTTATCAGAATATGGTTAATCTTGAATGGGAATAAGTTTCAATTAAACACCTTATTTTAGCAAATTTCTACGTTATTTTGCTTCAAGGCACCAATTTTATGATGCAACGTGAAACTATATTTATTCAACCGTGCGTTGTCGAAGACCAAGGGGAAAGTTGGTTTAGGTCCATTTTGCATAAAAATGACGGTTGAGCGCCATCTGTTGCATTTTCAGGTTTACTAAGTTCTGCAAATTAATAACATAGAAAATAGTTTCTCCCCGAGTGTTATTACACAGTGAAGATGGCTGTATTGTGGAAAAATCCTTCCTTTCAGAGAGCAAAAGCAGTTTTTTTCCGAATCAGTTTTTAAGGACATAAAACTTTTTGTCCTCGTGGCCTTCAGTTGTGTTAATTTTTAGGATATTGTTGCTAATATGCCTGTCGTTTTAAAGTATCTAGAATATGAACTATTCTGTGGCTTATTCTAAGGAAAACCAATGTCAGAATTTAAAAATATTTAAATTAAATGTTTGAATTTTTTAGAAAAATTTTAAATTTTGAGCAGTTTATGATATGACGAAAGCTTGACGATAGTAGTTTTCTGTTGATTCGTTAAATACTTTTTCAGGCTGTTTTGTTTATAAAAGTTATAATTCTCTTCAAGTAATTATATTTGTTCGTTAGGTTATGCCAATTATTATTTTTACAATATGTTAAGACTAAAAAAAGGACCTTTATTATGATCATCCTTATCTGATCGAAAATTTCAATAAACAGAAATTTAAACTTTTATGAATATACGAAAGCAAGAAAAATTTATGGGTACTATTATGCATTAATTAATCGAAATATGCAGTCTCAAAATTGTAGAGCCCTAATCTCTTTGACCCCTTTGGCCAACAAACTGGTCGTGATATTTACGTTTATATACTAACCATATTTCATAGTTTTATAATTATTTTTATATCGCAATTATGTTAAAAAATTCGAATGGAAAATGTAAATACCATTAACTTTTGAAACCTCAAAAGGGTAAACTTAGATGATACAGTTGAAGCATTTGATGATCGAAACATAAAATCAAATATTTATTCTTTCTTAAATTAGTTTTCATAAAAACCTAAATATTAAATTGGGAAAGATTTATGTTTGGTTAAATACAAAATAAGAATATTAATTACGTTTCTATTTTTTTTTATAGCATATTTTAAAAAGGAAAGTTTCTTTATTTTATTAATTGTGCATAATTGAACGTTATTAAAATGGTTGGAAAAAAATCACATTTTCAACTCTTATTATTTAAACAAGCTCTAATAATTTGTTAAAAATGCCGTTGTTTTAAAACACGCAATAAATGAACTTCACGCTATTGTTCGTGCAAAGAGTTTACACTTGCTTATTAAATACGATACATATTTACATAATCCTTTGTGATTGAACATCATCACTATTTACTTCCTTTTGGATAAACATGCGATTTTCTTTTATATTTAACTCTTTGTTGTGAAAGAAATACATTTAAAAATCAGTTTTGTTTGAATGAGTATCGAGATTATTTACTTGGTTAATATTAAATGAATCAAGTGTTACGTAATACCATCAAGTATACAGTTACATATTTGTTTATTTTTTTATTCTTTGGGAATCACTGTGCTGTCAAAACTTCTCTTGAATGTTACTTGCGAATTATTTACTTGGTGAATGCAGAATATATCAGTCAATCCCAAAAGTAAAGTTGCCTATTTTTTGGAGGGAAAAAAACTTTATTTTTTTGAATATTGTCATCATTTTAAAGGCTAAAGTTCTGTTTATTTTCCGATGAAATTCGCAGAAACTGTTGATGTATATTTGCAGATTCTGTGACAACTTCTGTAACTGACAAATAGAGAAGTTGCTGGAGAAGAAGAATGTTGAACAAGGGCGTAAAATTTTCACACATTGCTCATCGGACCACTGCTTTCTGCAACAGTTTCAATAGAACATCGTTACATACATCTCTTATTGTTTTAACTTGGCACCTAGGGAAGTTCTTTAATTTAAAAAAAGCGTTAAACCACCATAAAATGTTACTTCTTTTTGATGAGATGAAATATGAGATTGGGATAGAGAGGAGAGTTGATATGACATTGGCATAAAAAACTGCTACTAGCCAGCAAAAACGCATCGATAAGTCTGAAGATTATGTAAGGAATTAGACAAACTTTAAACTTTTAAATGAAGTAAATATTATAAAAAATAAACGGATCGTGGTATTTTTTTTTTGAAAAATAGGAGACTTTACTTTTGGGATTACCCTGGTATTTCATTGTACTATTAGGCTCAGGGAACTTATTTTTGATTCCATTGGTATTACAACACGCTTCTAACTTACTTTGATAACTTTAAATTAACAAAAAAAAAATATCTAAAGTCAATGCGAAGCAGTACTTAACTCACTTTGATCACTTGTAATTTAAAAACTCACTTGATACTAACTCACTTATATCACTTGTAATTTTAAAAAAAAATTATAACGCGTAGCACAATAGTTATGATGACCACGAGTTTCTTGCCATTCACATCATTCAAAAGTTGACATATTCTCTAACGTCATACGCACAGTTAGAGAATTTTTGAACGTCTTTCTATTCTTTTCGCAACTTCCATTTTTTTCTTTACCGGCATCAGTGTTAATCTACTTAAGCTCAAGGACGTATAGTGAACATCGCGAACGAAAACCTTTTTTAAAAGCGAGCTTCTTTTGGGGATCTTTGGAAAACGTTTAAGATAGAAAAAGCAGAATTTCTTTATTAAAGCAATTTTTACTTCTTTTTACCCGATCCATTATGTCTTTTGTTTTTTTTTAATTTTTATTTTATAACCGTCGTTGAACAGCCGAACCGATTTTTTGGGTTTACGACTACTAATGCTCAACACCGTAGCCTTGTAATTTCGAACCCAATCCAGAAGACAAGAAAACACCTGGATCAAGTATTGGGAGAAATCTTGCCTTCGTGGAGGACTTTTGGATGAAACTAACCCACATTTGATTTGCGTTTCGTGGAGAGGAAGACCACGAGAACCTCCCCCGGTGAGCCTGACGACAAAAGAACTCTAACCCATGATCCGTCTAACACTGAAGATATTTCGCGTCAGCACAGTGGTCGGTGGAAGCCGGATGCAGATTCGTTTCAAGCAGCCAGGGGATTCGAACCCAGTTCACCTCATTGGAAGGCGAACGCTCTATCCTCTGAGCCATCGAGTCTCTATGTCTTTCGTTAAAATTGATCAAAAGTGACCAGGGACCAATTAGTTAGCTGTAATCGAAACAGAACATAAACTTTTCATCACTTGACTGCTGAGGTCTAATAAAATTAACGGAGCATTTTGTTTTTAAAGACTCAAGCTTGTTTATGGAACTCACAAAGGAAATAATAGAGAGCATAAAACGTAGTAAATATCCGCAGCACGAGGTGGGATTCGAATTCATACCATCCGGCTTGGTGTTCAACATCTTGAGTTATCTAATTCAGATTTTTTAAGAAAGTATAATAAAATTACTCTTTTTTAAAATTCTACGGAACTTGCAATTTGTTATAAATATTATTACAATAATATTTTTCCTGGTATATTATAGGATTTATTAAAAAATTAAAATTCAAAGCAAAAAATGATTTCGTAAATGCACCATTTATAATATCGTGGTTTCAACTAATGGTGACTCCTCAAAATGGATATTAATAAAGCAAAAAATATAATTACCTTTTCTCAGCAACAATTTCTTTTTTAAAAAACAATAGTTATGTGAAAAGTGTAAAAGGTAATTTAAACGTATTTCTTATTGAAAACTTAAAAATAAAATGTTAAGTTTTTTTTATCAGTGTGAAAAATATTAAAGTGATACGCTTTATTCCAATATAATGTTCGTAACTATATTTTATCTAAATTAATTTACTTTAAATACATTTATCCTGTAAAAATGTAGCATCTATTGTATACATACTGAAGCTTTTATTTAATCATATTGTACTTATTAAGAATGAAATATTAATTAGTATCTTATTTCCTTTTATAAAGCTTACGTACATACCCATGGCCTTTTTCATCCCACCATCTGTGTTTCTAGTGCACTATCAACTCAATGTCATTTTTCAATACTGGCTCCATAGTGAAGTAAGTTATGCATGAAATAATTTTATATGAATATTTTGAATTCTTAAATTTAGTTTTTTGTTAGAATTCGCTTAACAAATAAAATTATTTGTAATACAAAACAAATAATATTGTTTTAACCCTTTTTAAGGCCATTGTAAGTATGCTTACCACCAATTTCATCAATTTTTAAGCTGAATGAATTTCTTTTATTTTTCTTAAAATGATTAGTTTTCTTACCAACAAATAGATGGAAGCACAATATATATTTTTATATCAGTGTAATTTAAGAACACTTAGAATGTTTCGCAAACGTTTCTTTCTTTTGACGTTTCAGAATAGTTAAGTGAAAGGTTTCAGTAATGTTTTACGTTTCTATTATATATTATGTTGAGTGGGTGTGATCAATGATATGTGGATTCTGGACTTAGAAGGCAATACCTTTCTTGTTTTAAAAATTTTGTACATAGAGATCAGTTAGGAAAACTAAGTAAGTCCCTATTTTTTTGCGATAATCTCAATGCAGTTTCTAAAATTATTTGAATTATTCCATTTTGTAAGACATTTAAATAATGAGACTAGAAGACGCATGGATAATTATATAAATTTTTTAATTTTTAAAAATCAAATTTCTAATGACTCCAAATGTAATATTTCCGATTTCAAATCTGAAACGAAGTAGTTTTAGTTTATATTTAATTAAAACTTAAAAAAGGATGTGAATTGAAAATGAGAATGAAATTAATTGAAAATTGAAACATAAAAAATTGATTTCTTATCATTTTAACAAACATATCAGTAAATAAGAAGTAGGGTTAGTTTTTTATTTGGTATATTAAGTTTCATGGCTAACTATAATAATTAAAGTACAAGAAATATAAGAAATTTACATCGTGAATATGTCGTTAAATAGCATCTAAAAATTTCTATAACTATTTCTATAATATTTACTTACAAATTTAACTTTTACTACCAACATCAATATTGTTTATTTATAGCGAAAAATATAACCGTATAAAAATATCTTGCTACTAATAACATTTAAAAAAGATATTTCAATCGAAATGTTTTGCTAAATATGAAATATTTGCTTTCCATATCTATTTAAAATTAAACTTTTAAATTCATCTTCTTATTTTTTGGTGCAAAATAAGAAATTTTATAAAGAACTGTTGGAAATATGTGCAAAATACTAACTTTAAAAATTGTGGTAAATGTATTCAATAGACTTTTAAGAGATTTCAGAACTTTTTAAGACTTTCAAGCAGTTATTTTACTTATTACATAGATTCGGCCTTTTTTCATTTGTTTAATGCTATTCATTTTTTGAAAGCACAATAAGACATGTAATCTTTTTCTCCAAACTGTAAATATTTCTATAATTTCCATTACGCAATTTTCCATTGTGTTTGCCAGAATACTTACATATTATGTAAAATTACATAAAATGTTTCCTTAAACAATCGGCTAATGCATTTAAAATGGTTTTCTAAGCGCTATTAATTTCAGCGGATTTTTTTTTATCTAAATTTTATTATTGGCTGCTATTTCCGTGTCTGAAGAGGAATGATCCTTTATTTTAGTTTCTAATAAACGTATTTATTTTTAGTTTTACGAGGAAACCTCGTGGTGCATATCTTATGTTTAAGCTACTTTTATTCATACTTCAACTGAAATTATTTATGTAAAACTACAAGGAATGAAATTATGGTAAATTTAGCGTACTTTAATGACATTTCTTGTTAATGAAACAAAAATATACAGTATTCAAACCTTTCATTTGGTAATTTTTTTGTTCATATGGTAATGATTTACTGGAAATTATGTTTTTCAAAATCATTGTTCTTATTATCACACATTTAGTAAATTTCCCCGTAAATACGGTTTCAATGCCATGCTCTAAGGTATCATGATAAAGTTACTAAATTTTATCACAGATTATAAAATTATATTTTATTGTTAATTTTATCAAAGTCAAAACCAAAGCGCTTCGAGAAAAACTACCGAGATTTTTGGTGTTAGAGACGGAAATATGGTGCTTTAAAAACTTCGTGAGAACAACGCGAGTTCGAAACGCTTTGTGTCGCAAAACTGACCCATTGTTTGAAAAAAGAAATTCTGAAATGCGCACAACCACAAAAAAGGAAAAAAGTTTTAGAAATTCGAATCAATTTTTAAATTTTTTTTTTAAACATTTTTTTACTTTTTATTAGAGTAATTTGTCAATGTTCCCATGCTTTGAGGTAAGATCCCACTCGGACTTATTTAAAATTTAAAGAAATAAATATCATGCAAAATATGCTGTATTTTAATATATTTCAAATAATTTAGAACTTAAATAGACATTAAAATGAAGAAAACAATGTTAAAATAATAATTTCACTTAATTACAACGAATTTAATAAGTTAAAAATAACTGATACAATTTTTTCCCGTGTTACTTGAAGTTTTTATTGATATATTTTACGAACAACATTTTAATTGAGAAATGCTTTTGTACCAAAAAAAAGATAACAAAAATACTTAAATTTTGTATTCTTTTCAAACTTTAAGGGCTATGCTAGAAAGGGAAAAAAAATCTTTTGGATTTCGAAAAGTTTGATATCATAATTTTTTTTCTTTATTTGTATAACTTTTCCGTACACTAGCTGAATGTGAATAACATCAGTGTTTTTGGCCTAGCTTATCTCTTACATCTGGGACTGGAAGTATTTAACACAGAAATGAAGATTTTATTTTTATAAAATAATATATTAAATATTAAAATTTCAATATTAAAATTCATTTATTATTTGCATATTACAATGTCTCCAAATAATTAATATATGCGCATCGCTATTTTCACATTCAGATAATAAAATTTATTTATGATTTGGATACTACAATGTACCCAAATAATTAATATATGAGCATTGCTATTCACGTCCAAATAATAAATTTCATTTATGATTTGGATATTGCGTAGCACAATAGTTATGATGGNGCTTTTTGGTGTTAAAGATGGAAATATGGTGCTTTAAAAACTTCGTGAGAACAACGCGAGTTCGAAACGCTTTGTGTCGCAAAACTGACCCATGGTTTGAAAAAAGAAATTCTGAAATGCGCATAACAGCAAAAAAGGAAAAAAGTTTTAGAAATTCAAACCAAATTTTTAAAAAATTATTTTTTTAAAATTTTTTAATTTTTTATTTCTTATTAGAATAATTTGTCAATGTTCCCATGCTTTGAGGCAAGACCCCACTCGGACTTCTTTAAAGTTTAAGAAAAAAATAACTATCATGCAAAATATGTTCTCCCCAAAGCAGTATTTTAATATATTTCGAATAGTTTAGAACTTAAATAGATATTAAAATGAAGAAAACAATGTTAAAATAGCAATTTCACTTAATTACAACGAATTTAATAAGTTAAAAAGTGGTAGATACAATTTATTTCCGTGTTACTTGAAGTCTTTATTGATATACTTTGCGAACAACGTTTTGATTGAGAAATGTTTTGTACTAAAAAATGATAACGAAAATACTTAAATTTTGCATTCTTTTAAAACTTTAAAAGCTGTGCTAGAAAGGGGAAAAAATCTTTTTGATTTCTAAAAGTTTGATATCATTATTTTTTTCTTTATTTGTATAACTTTTCCGTACACTAACTGAAGGCGAATAACATAAGTGTTTTTGGCCTAGCTTATCTTTACATCTAGGGCTGGAAACCAATATTTTATTTTTTTTTAAAAAATAAATAAACAAATAAAAAAAGTTGATTTTTAAAGTTAAAGTGAAACGGTGCCTAATGTTTCGAATTAATTAATGGCAACTATCACTTCATAATTCTAATTTATTTTAAAGAGAGAAAATACAGTATTGCAGTTGGTTCCTTTTATTAAAAAAGTAGTAATGAAATGCAAGAACGTAATTTTTCTGAATATTTTTTTTAAAATTTCAATTCTGATAATTTCAGTTTCGAACTTACAATCTCACGAATTTAATACTGCAAATTTAAACATCAATACATGGAAAGGAAGTTTGTTAGGATTTGAAATATGCTGTCTCAAAAGTTTTTCCCAAGAAAGCGATCATATACACACGTTCCAAAATGTCAATTTTTTACTCATAATATAAGGACTCTTTAGATTTTGAGTTCGTTTTTTCCTCATCAAATAGTTTTGCTGAAAAAGATTGGATAAAATACTTCAAAAATATACTTCAGACACTTTCAAATGCATTTTATTTAAGTAAAACATTTATTACAACTGATTGGCAATTTTTTTTAAAGTTTGAAACCCGTAGCGCATTTAGTAATTGTTGTTAAAATGTCATTCTCGTTCAAATAATGAAATTAATTTAAGATTTGGATATTATAATGTACCCAAATAATTAATATATGCGCATTGCTATTCACATCCATATAGTAAATTTCATTTATGGTTTGGATATTATAATGTCTCCAAATAATTAATACATGTGCATTGCTATTCACGTCCAAATAACAAGATTAATTTATTACTTGGATATTATAATGTCTCCAAATACTTAATACATGTGCATTGCTATTCACGCCCAAATAACAAGATTAAGTTATTACTTGGATATTACAATGTATCCAAATAATTAACGTATGCGCATCGCTATTCACGTCCAAATAATAAAATTAATTTATTACTTGGATATTATAATGTACCCAAATAATTAACATATGCGCATTGCTATTCACGTCCAAATACAAAATACATTTATGATTTGGATATTACAATGTATCCTAATCATTAATACATGCGCATCGCTATTCACGTCCAACAAATAATTAACATATGAACATTGCTATTCACGTCCGAATAACAAAATTAATTTATTACTTGGATATTATAATGTACCCAAATAAGTAACATATGCGCATTGCTATTCACGTCCAAATTCAAAATGCATTTATGATTTGGATATTACAATGTATCCTAATCATTAATACTTGCGCATCGCTATTCACGTTCAACAAATAATTAATATATGAACATTGCTATTCACGTCCGAATAACAAAATTAATTTATTACTTGGATATTACAATGTATCCAAATAATTAACATATGCGCATTGCTATTCACGTCCAAATAACAAAATTAATTTATTACTTGGATATTACAATGTATCCAAATAATTAAAATAAGCGCATTGCTATTCACGTCCAAATAACAAAATACACTTATGATTTGGATATAACAATGTATCCTAATCATCAATACATGCGCATCGCTATTCACGTCCAACAAATAATTAAAATATGAGCATTGCTATTCACGTCCAAATAACAAAATTAATTTATGATTTGGATATTACAATGTATCCAAATAATCAATACATGCGCATCGCTTCTCACGTCCAAATAATAAAATTAATTTATTACTTGGATATTATAATGTATCCAAATACTTAATAAATATTTTTTTTGTTAGAATAAAAATTTGCTATTTAAGAATATATATTTCTTTTACCTTAATTGGATTTTTTGAAATTATTTTACAGTATATTCCTCGTCTGGGTGTTTTAGAGTACGTTTTTGTAACTCCAAGCCATCACAGAGTTCATCATGGTATGCTTTATATTTACAAATAATGTATGATTTTTCTTGTTTTTCTTTGGCATATGTTTAATTTATTATTTCTCTTCAAATACGACTGATGAAAATAGCTAATAGATGAGAATAAAAAAGTGGAATAAAAAATGGATTGAAATAAAATTTATAGTTAACCATAAAAACTAATTGTACTACACAGGCCTCGAAAAAACTCAGAAATTTTTCCCGTCCCCGAGGACGGCTTGCCCAACAATGTACCCGTCCTCCTTTGAAACTAACCCGTAGCTTCTAAATAAATAAAAATATAATTTTCTCTTGTTTATGAAAAACATTTATATAAATTGCAGAATGAATTAGTAGTTTCTAGGATTACAAATACTAGGATTGCATTATACAATAATAAAAGAAATACTAGGTTACTAATAATAACCTAGTATTTCTTTTATGAAATAATTTAAATGACAAAGGTCAATTTATCTGTGGGTACTGCGTTTTTTAAATGAATCAAATACGACGTTTGCCAGTTCCACAATCAAGGCAATGATTTACAGAGGTTTCTGCACAGAAATCTGAAAGGGGTTTTCCATTTAGGTAGATGTTCATAATTGCG